CCCATTTGTCTGTCTCTTTGCATTGATTTATAAAGTTCCTTGCACATGTTAAATAGTAAATTTTGTTCTGTAAAACACGCTAAGATCTGTCTTGCCAATATTTGCTTATGACCTGGTTTAGTTTTAGGCCGGTATCCTCTATCAAACAGGTGATTTAAACTTTATGCAATCAAACTTAATCACCCCTTCCTTCGTGGCTTCTAGAATGTATATCTTTTATATCTCCTGAAGAAAATAAGATTGCTCTTTAATGTTTTCTAATACTTCAACTGTTACATTGTATTTAGAGCTTGTCTTCTGGCCAGGGCACAATAACGGCCAACTTGGTTATGCAGCAAATGAAATATCGCTTACGGGGCTGTTTAAGTGAAACCTGGTTTTCCTAACACCGTTTTTGTTTTTATTTTGTTTTGTTTTGTTTTGTTCCTTGAAAGAAAGCAGACTACCTATTTTGGCGTTGGGAGCCTCAGCCTAGCTTGGCCTCCATGACTCATGTTGTGTTGTCAAAATTGCTCTAGTAGATTGGGGCATCTCCCCATCTTTTTTCCCCTGCCACCGAGCCTGTCTCTTTATAGTATTAGGTTACCTACCCATAGTTGCTGACTTGTGGAAAGTGAAGGCAAGCGGCGCACTGTTTACCTGAGGAACTAGGGTCTAGAAAATTCTTAAGCCTCTTTTCTCTAAAGTTGCAAATGGGTTGGCAGCACCAGGCATGGCGGCTGACACCTGTAACCCCGACTCTCAGGAAGCTGAGGTAGACAGCTGCAAGTTTTGGGCAAGCCTGGGCTGCACAGTGAGTGCCAGGCCAACCTGGGCTCTAGATGAGAGACCCTCTCTCCAAAATAAAAAATTAATAAAAAAAGAAAAAGGGTTTAAACCAGCTTTGGAATCACTTCTAAAAGTGTGTTGTCTGAGATTCCCCATCACAACTAATGCTGTTGGGTGTAGCCATCTTGCCTCTCCCTTTTTACAAAGCCTTACATACACCCAATCCATCCCTCCGAGCATCCTCTCCACTGAAAGTGGCAGGTAGACAGGATTTGTTTTTTTTTTTTAAAAAAAAAAAACACCAATGAGTGGTTGGTTCTGAAACTGTCTACCAGGTAAATAACACTGATAATTCATCTCCTCCCTCACAGAGAAGCTCCAGCTTGATCACTAAAAAGAGCTTTACACCATTTAGGTGAATCTAAATTGTGTCATTTTTTTTGTCATCAGCCTGTTAACGTGTCAGTCGTTAGTGGCAGCGGTAATTTATTTTTCTTCCGAGGGAGTCTTGAAGCTTCCATTTACGAGATTTAGTAAAACAGGAATAGTCAATTTGTACACACATTTTAATTAATTTTAAATAGAAGCTTGAATGCACAATATTCTGCTCCTGGAAGCCTGTGGAATAAGGGAGAGAAAGAGAGAGACGGGAAGACGAAACATCTCACATACGGTTTCTGATTAGTCAGGGCGAGCTCCCACCCACTCCCAGGGAGGACCACAAAGGAAGCTGACAAGCTCTTTCCATTGGAGCAATCTGGCACTCTTTTTTGTCCTTGGGGTAGTGTGTTTGCACGCATGCACACATCAGCATGTCGTACACAGTGGCATGTGTGTGAGAAGTATAGTGCTTTTTCTTTTTCTCATATCAGCCCGTCCAGTCACATTGGGGATCAAGTTTGGATGATCACGAATCCCCAAGAAGTTTAGTCACCATTTCCAAACCCCACAGTTGAGACGGGGAGGGTGGCTGCTGAACTTGGGGCTTTCTGTCACCAGAATCCTTGTCCTTTTCACTCAGACTTGGTGCTGTTTCTCTCGGTGGGATATGGAGTCCAAATAATGCCCCTGCCCAGTCTTAAAAAATGAGGAACATCATGTGCTCACAAAAATGAATGAATGAATGAATGAATGAATGAATGAATGAATGAATGAGTGAAATACAAGTAGTTGTTTACACAAGAGGTTCTCAGTTCCCAGTCATCTTCTCCAGGTTGGACAAGTCTGAGCCACACATATTTACCATGAGACCCTGGAATAAGTTGTATCTGAGAATCAGTTACAGGAGGAGTTCCTGGCTTTCCATGCTGCAGACCCAGGGATCACTAGCTGGCTTCATTCTTTTTTTCACCGGCAGTGGATTCCTTGGGTTTCATTCTTCTCATTAGTCCCTTTGGGGCTTTTTAATGTGGCACCAGCCACACCCCTGAGTGCCCCGCTTTCCAGCAGACATCAGGGTCTTCCATTTCTCACCACACTTCCAGCAAGCTTGCATCAAACAAATTGAGAAGAGACTAAACTTAGGAACACCTCGACCTGACTCTTCTTCCCTTTTTCCCTAAGTAATTTAAGTAGGTCATATTTTAAGCTTGATTTCCCAGGCATCTGATTTTATATAAAACCAAGTCTTATTTTCTATTTTTCCCACCACTCGGATTTTGTGCAAAAGAAAAAGGAGAAAATAATCCTTCCTTTTATCAACTGCTATAGACAGTAATCATTTGCTTCCCTCCCCTACCTTGTGGGAGTAAAAAAAAGACACCATGGGTGCTGATTTGAGGTCATCTTGTTGCCCATCCATGTAGCCCACCCAATATATAGTATACAGATCAGGAATAGACTTGGAAGACTACACACTGTTATAGAGGCATTTCTCAGTGTTGCTTATTTCGGGCATGAGGGTGGACGTGGGGGTGAGAAACAATGCATATTCTAGTCTTCCTTCTGGAGATCCTTCCATGTGACCCAGATCAGAAATGACAAGAAGGTTTTCTCTTGAATGCCAGCTCACTCTCCTTGCAGGTTTTAGCCAGGGTGTTTCAATGATGTTCAAGTTCTTTCTAGGCTCAGGAGAAGGTGCCATGATGCATTAATGATATCTACAGAGCTACAAAAGAGGGGATAAGAGTCTGCTCACACACATTTGCATCCCTGACCTTGAGCTTAGCCTGAATCCTGTAATGTACTGATAAAGAGCAAACTTGCTTTGTCTCCAAATCTCTCTCAAGACCTCAAGAAAGTCCATCACTTCTCTAGCTAGTTCACATTTGCACAGTCCCTGTTTGGGGATCCAAGCTCTTTCCTCTACTTCTCCAAGACAATCAGTATCTCTAGTAACTAAGGAACACTCTCTTTTTTAATTTTTATTTTATTTTATTAATTATAATTTATTCACTTTGTATCCCAGCTCTAGCTCCCTCTCCCAGCCCCTCCCAATTCCACCCTCCCTCCCTCTTCTTCTCAATGCCCCTCCCCCAGTCCAATGATAGGGGAGGTCCTCCTCTTCTTCCATCTGACCCTAGTCTATCAGGTCTCACCGGGACTGGCTGCATTGTCTTCCTCTGTGAACTGGTAAGGCTGCTCCCCTCTCAGGTGGAGGTGATCAAAGAACCAGCCCATCAGTTCATATCAGAGATGGTCCCTGTTCCTACATCCTAAATGTAAGAAGCATGCATCCTCCATTCAGAAGGTTTCATCTGAATTCAGCTTGTGTCTTTGATGTCATTTGAACTCATTCCTCCCTAGATGCTTCATAAGGATAAGAATTTTGGAAATAATATCCCCAACACTTTCAACAACTACCCTCTTGTAAAGTATTTGGGAAGATAATAGCTCATCAATCACATGCCAACTGTCGAGATGTTTTATTTCAAATAAGTTTGAAATTGAGAGGAAAATTCATTGTGTTTGCAACATGAGGCCTATTTAAGGTACTGCTCTTTCTCTGTCTTTTGTAAGTACTCTTTGGTGCTTTCCCATAAATCCTTGGATATCAAGGATGTAGCAAAAGTTTTTACCCAAGCCAGTCAACAGTACACAACTCAGCACTGACAGGAAATCATCTTTGGCAAGCACTGTGCCTGTTCTCCAGAGGTTTACCGTGTCCCTGGGAAGTCAGACAATCACAGAGGGAAGATAATTGCTGTTCCATGGCCACAGAAGGGAAGAACAGAGCAGGATGAGCAATGGACTAAGATGTAATCTGACTGAATGCTCGCTGTGCTCTGGAATGGTGAGGTCCCCTAGTTTTGTATATATGCTCCATCCGTGAAGAATTCTCAGAATCTGGACTTAAAAATCACAGACACCAGCAACAGACACTGAAATACCTACATGGGTCACATCTGAAGGTCTCTTTCTGAACGCTTGTGTCATAAGTGGAGTAGCCAGAGAAGCATTCCATTTAGAAGGCCAATTGGAAATACAGATTTATTGCAAATCATTGATGATGTGGGAAGTCTAAAGCCTGAAGGAGCCCTCTAAAATCCTCTTGTAAATAAACTCTGAAAGTGGGAAGTGGTTAAGGCCAACTCAAACCAGAGGTAATGGCATCCCAGACAATCCCCACAGTTTTCAACCTTCATCCCATAAGCAAAGGCAAGAGGCGAGGAGTGTTCCAGATGGCCTGCCTTGCTCCTCCTCTTGTTTTCCTACTAAGCCAGGCTTGTTTTGTCTTTGTAATTTAATGTATGCGTTCTTCTTCGAAATAGATACACTTGTTTTTTCATGGTATAGGGAACAGAAGCAGGGAGAGATTCATTGGCACAAATGTGTCCAGTTGAGGAGTCAGCTTACCTGAGGATAAAATAATGAGTAAAATGTACCCAGACTCCTGGTACCAATGGCATGTATATCAGTTTGGCTTTCTTAAGAACATAGCTGTAGAGTTTGTTAACCTGGGTTCCTGCTTGGGAGCCTTGTGACAACAAAATGATAATATCACCAGTCTGAGCCTCCAGTGCATGGGGGATGCTGATCATAGCTGCCCCTCTGATTGTTAAGTCAGGAAATGCAGAATGCATACTTTCCTGTGCCTGGTCATGCATGAGTAGGAGCCACTGACAGCAATGGCATTTTTTTTTTTTTTTTTGGCGTTTTGTACTTACAGGTGACTGTGTACCTCTGTGGCTAAGATCTGAGCCTACAGGGTTGTGCGCAAAGCCATTGCACCATACAGACACAGCCCCTCAGATGCCACTCCCTTGTGACCTGGTGTTCTCTCTGATTTTCAGCTGCCTGCCCCGTCCTGTGCAGCGGGAACGGACAGTATTCCAAAGGAACGTGCCAGTGTTACAGTGGCTGGAAAGGTGCTGAGTGTGATGTGCCTATGAACCAGTGCATTGATCCTTCCTGTAGCGGCCACGGCTCCTGCATTGATGGGAACTGCGTGTGTGCCGCTGGCTACAAGGGCGAGCACTGTGAGGAAGGTAAGCAGGGAACGTCAGTCAGCAGGTCAGCTGCAGGGGAGGTGTGCTGGCCTTGATCTTGGCTTTTTGCACCCTAAACTTCAAACCCTGGGCTTTGGTAAACTTCTCTAGGAAAGGCCAGTGGAGATGGTTCTGGAAACAATGTTTTTGTTTTATCCTGATTTATTGACATTTGCTACTTTTCTTTTGTTTTCTTGTGTTTTCTCTTTTAAATGCTCTCTGCCTCTGGTCTGTCTGTCTGTCCTTATGTCTGTATGTATTCTCTTTCCTGTACTCTTCCTCCTCCTTGCCTTCCCTCTCCCTCCCAGATCTTTTTTAAAACGTGTGTGTGTGTGTGTGTGTGTGTGTGTGTGTGTGTGTGTGTGTGTG